GGATAGAAGCTTCTAACCCTAGTTGGATTGAGTATGCATGTGTTGGACTGGACTGTCAGCAACTTCAACTGTTGAGTTTCAGTTGTAAATCGATGCCAATATTCGAGTTTGGTAGAGCTTTAATCTATTTCAAGCCCTGGAAGAGATAGAAGCTTCTGACCCTAGTTGGATTGAGTATGCATGTGTTGGACTGGACTGTCAGCAACTTCAACTGTTGAGTTTCAGTTGTAAATCGATGCCAATGTTCGAGTTTGGCAGAGCTTTAATCTATTTCAAGCCCTGGAAGGCTTCTTAAACGGGCAGAATTGCGGCCTTTTCAATCTGAAAGGGGCAGAAGTGCTTAAACGGGCAGAATTGCGGCCTCTTCAATCTGAAAGGGGCAGAAGTTTTGTAACAAGAGAAATCTCGTTTCGGATGATTTATTTTTCTAAGTCTGAAATTGGAAGTTTTGATTTATAGCTGTCTTGTTTCTTGTTGGCTCAATGAGCTTTTGGTTGCTTCAGTTTGTTTGAAGGTTATTTGAGATCAAATGATCATTTTGAGTTTTTGTCTTTGATTGATTTTTTTGACTGTCCCCTGTGCTTTATTCACCCTATCTTATATTTATAAGAAATGCTTTGGAGGGGGCTTCTAATCTTTTAATAATCGGCGGCAAAATTTTATCCAAAGATCTTTCATTTTTAAATGCAAAGAAAAAGGGGTTTTATCAATTCTGGCAGATAAGTCCTCAGTAGTCAGTACTAAGGCAGTTTCTTCCCTGTATTTTTGAAAGGAAACCTAACCCTTCTTCCAATTCGATTGCTTTTTGTAAGAGCTCAAATTGTGATGGTTAGTTTGATTTTCCAGTTTTGAACAACTCTCTGCTTCCTACTTATCTCCCAAAAACGTAGTCTGCATATCTTTTGAAAATGGTGCCTTCTCTGGAGCAAAGAATATCTTTGAATATATATATATATATATAAGAGGGATTTGATCTTGCGGTTGCAGAGATTTTTAGAGATGTCTTTCCTTTATACCTGCCCTTGTTAACTCTTTATCAACCCAGTTGAAATTGCTGACTTTTCCAAGTCAGGAGATCACGCGGGTTTGTCTCTGTTGGAGCAAAAATTCTTACAATAAGAATGTCTTCCACAGGTTCTTGGCTTTACTCCACACACGAGATAAACAGATCTCCAAGCGACACTTCTTCCAAATCAGATGAGAGAGGGATGGGTACCTGCAAAAGATACTCCTACGCTCAAGTCAATTTTTGTGTGTATTTGAGTGCACCAATGAATCTTAAATCGCATCCCCTTCTCTGGTTGTGGGACTCCATTTATACCTGGTGACAGACTTGGGATGCAAGCCTCAGTTTGCACGTCTTATGTCCACTTCTGCCACTTCCGGTTAGCATGAGTTGCACGTTGTCGACTCTCAATGGAGCCTTGATTCATGCGGATTGGGGAGTGCGATCGTTTGAATATACTCACAAACCCATGTCGGGCCACTTGTACACGAGTCAACATGGGGTAATGCGCTTGTGAACCCACGTTGAGTGGTGCATATCCGAACCTGCGTTGGGCGGTGCGCATCCGGAATCGCATTGGGTTTACGCGCATGCTAACCCATATCGGGCCAATGTCAACACGAACTCACGTTGGGCTTATGCGTATATGAACCCAAATTGGATCGACCCCAATCTGAGCTCGTGTTGGGCTTTCACGCAAGAGAACTTGCATTGGGCCAACGCCTATATAAACCTATGTTAGGTTGTGCCTAAATCTGATCTCGTGGTGTGGCGGATCGGTAGCGAATTATTTTGCTCCCACATTGCCCTCTTTTTTCCTCTTCCCGCTCACGCTTAGCATGTGGGTTGAGGGAAAAACTCAACTTAGCTCACACTCTCTTTGGGATACTACCCTTGCCTTCTTGGACCGTTGGACAAAACCTTGTACCTGACTTGCCCATCAGCAGGACAACAATGACAATTAACAATGTCATAAAAGATCACTAGGGCATAGGCATATCTGCATGAGTCCAATATGTCAGATACAACAAGACAAGAAACCTTATTAATGACCTTGACAGTTTTAGCTTTTCAAAACCTGTTCCTGACACCAATTTAATATTTCTCCTTCTCCTTTAGAGTTTTGCATTTCCCTCTTCACTCACAAAAGAGAAGAGGAAGAGAAAAATAGGGGAAAGGAGGAGAGGGAAAACCCCTCAGAATCTGCGTTGGCTTCTTGCTCGATTGTACGTCATCTTACGAATGATGTTTTGGTTCTTTCCTATGGTTGGCCTACGAACAAATTCACACCTGAGTGCTGCTTTCTTCCTATAATCTGTACTTTGCCAGATTCATCACCAACCATTCTTCTTCTTTGTGGTTTCCTTCACCATCAATAGTTATTGTCCAGGTACCAACTGAATATGCAACAACCTATGCACTTCTATTCGTGAAGAACATACGTATACACGAATGAAATATGATGCGTGTGTGTATATTAATATAGATATATATATATATATGTATTAACATAAGTCTATGTGTCCACATATGAACATAGGTCTGTGCATGGCAAACGTTAGTATCAATCTTTGCATGGCAATCTATATATATGTACATAATGCA